AAGTACTCAGAAAAGAACATCACGAAAGACACTTTGAATAGTAATGTTAACTAAAAAAATAATTTGCAACCATAAATGAATTTTAAAGGAAAACTGAAAGCCTATAAATAGTCTTGAGCATCTGTGCAAAGATTAACAAAGAATGTTCCAGGCAGGCTGGAACCCATTTGTTCACACCATTGAGTAGAACGAGTAAAAACTACAACACACAAAACACAACACACAAACCAACCAAACAAAAATCCATCCCAACTGATTTGCGAAAAAGGTGAGACTGCATTAAAGGGCTTTCTCAGTTACTGATTTCAAAACCTATTTTATTTGGATATTCGAATGCCTACAACTGCATCTAAGAACTCAGTCTTAATTAGGATTTTCTTCAAATCAGTGTCATTACCTGGGATACTGTTGGTAGCGAGAGAGAAGTTTGGCTCTGATTGTTAGATCACCTATACTTTCTGCAGAAGGATTTGGAAGAAACTGGGGAAGACATGAAGTTTGTAGCCATGTCTGAAACTGCTCTCTGGTTGCCAGCTCCATATCCATGCTGGATATTGAATGCTTATTAGCACCTTTTTTTTTAAGGATGCTCCTTTTCTGGGTTTTTCGACACAAAATTCACTTTCAGAAATTGTTTCCTGCTGGGGTTTTCTCAGCTACAGCTCGCCAAACTCTGCTGGGCCATGTCTGTACTGGACTCTTCCATGGATTCAGTGACTTGATGAAGAGCAGCAGGTGATTAGGAGTGGTCTCACCCGATTTCTAACTTTATGACTCCAGGAATAACCATTACTTGCAGTGTGTGCATTGCAAAAGACTGGTTGTTGTACAACTTTTGTGCTCTTGTCTAAGAGCTCCTGGCCCCAGCAGCCACTAGAGATAGCATCCAGCAGTGTGAGACAGAGGCAGTTTGCCTTGAGCATGGTCCTGCTCTTGCTAAGTTAGTTTTAAGGACTATGAACTAATGCAGACATGCAGACAATCCTTCCTAAATCAAATAAGCTAAAACTATGATTTTGAGGCTTTTAAAACCTTTTTTTTTTTGACCCTTTAGAGACACAGAAGTAGCTGATCCATAACTAAGTGTTCAATATCTTGCTTCTGATAATAACCAAGTGCTAGTGCTGGGCAGATCTGGTTATTCAGGGCTGCAGTGTAGGCTTGGACACAGCTGAGGCAGCATGAGGCTACTTTGGCTCTTTGGTGGGAGCTCCACGAATGCTGCTGTCCTCAGCCTGGGGGACCCAGATAACACAGAGACAGGTTTGGCTGAGCCCTGTTGTAATCTGGCCAAGGCAGATCTAACAGTACTAAAATTAGTAAACATGTAACAGGGCACAAGCTTCTTTCAGAGCTGTCCATCTGCACCCAAGTGCTGCTGACTAAGTCCCATGAAGATCTTTCCAAGAGCAGACAGGTGTTACCAGCATGTATATCCCACCTGATTCTCCATTCCTGAAGGTTTCTTTGCCCTTTTTTCTATAAGGAGTCCTGAGGAGGCAATGCTTTGGCCTGGCCATCCACAAGAAAGGAGGTGGAAGTGCAAGACAAAGAGGAACCGGCTGTGACAAAAGGTGTTACCAACATCTTAATGGGGAAAAGAAGCAAACAAGGGAAAAAAACAAAACAAACTTCAAAAAAAACCAAACATACAAACAAACAAAAATTCCCACAACAAAACAAAAAACCAGAGAACAAACACACACACACAAAAAAACCCCACAAACAAACAAAAAAAAACACACAAGAAAACCCAAAAAACCCTAAACATACCAATCATGATAAAGCTAAAGTACTCAAAATGAATTTTGTTCTATTTTTCACAAGCAAGTAAATTCTAATAAGCAATTAAGATGGCTATCTGTATTAAGGGAATAGGCTACTCTAAAAAATCATAGTGGAAGAATGATTTACAGAAACATCCAGACTTAAAAAAATATGTATTCTAGATGTCAAGGGCTACTGCAATTCTCCTTAGAGTGTTCAAAGAATTAGCTGAACTAAATCTCTGAACCATTAGTGATTGCATTCAAGGAAGCGAAGACAACAGCAGAGTCTTAAAGGAGTGGAAAAGGACACAGTATCTTAAGAAGAGGGCAGAGAGATCCTCTGAGGACTAGCCTTTCCAGAAGCCAGGACATGCAAGGTATTACTGAGTATCCAATCATTAGCACCAAACGAAATGATAAGAACCTGCCACCAGGGATTTGATTAAAACAAGGATGTCAAACCAATTTGAATTCTTGGAGAAGGCAAGTGGCCTGATGAAGAAGGGGAAACCCACGTGTGCAATCCTAGCTTGAGATCAGTAAGTCTTTTGATGCTTTTTCCCCCTCTGCCATCTCATAAGCAAACTGAGGAATTATGTTCTAACCACCACTGACTCATGAGCACTGGTACTGAGCAGCTGGGCAGGGAAGTGCTAATATTCCTGTCATTCCTGCAGCACATTTGCATCCCACCAGTGTCATTACATTGAGAGCATCTTCTGCTTTCTTACCTGCATAAGCTCACTTCTTATGTCCTTGCCATAATAGTCAAGGATGGAAACTTCAGTACAGGCCTTTAAAGATCAGCACCCGTGAGGCTACTGAAGACCATAAATGTAATCAGAAGAGCTATATGAGGGTGGAGATGGTCCAGAACAAAAGGCTGGACCTCCCTTGCACTGAATTTTGAATATTTTTTTTCTTATAGATTTTTATAGACTCTCCATACTTTACTAGCTTGAGCCAAACACCACCTAGGTTAGATGTGCACTCTAGCAGTGAAGTGCATTTGTGACCCAAATCTGATTTCTGTGCCCAGCGTCAACTGAGGAGCAAGTCTCCTTCCCCTTCCACAGATTATTGCAGTACTTTCTGCAACACAGAGAAAATTATTCTAACCTTGAGCTAAATTCCAACTAGAATATGTGCTTTGCCTACCGCCAGCTTTCTGGGAGAAAAGTATCATGCCTTGTAGTAGTGCAACGTTTTCTGATCCTCTCTGATAGATTCCCCTCTGAATTAGGAGGTATGAGAAAGCAGCTTGGCAGAGCCTGCTTGGCAAGTTTTGACACCTAAATTGAAAGTCCAGGCCCCAGATTCCTTGGTTTTGATTGAAAAGTCAGTAGGATTGCCTCTTGGTAACTTGTGGGCTGTAAAACTGGATGTGTGCTCCTCCAGATAAGGGCTTTTTTGTGTGACATTGTGTAACGGCTGCCACAGGGTTGATGTGGGCCAGGCCATAAATAACTTCTGCATAAATATTTTTAGCAAATACTTTCCACTCTTGAGATACACTGGACAGTTTGAAGTGTATGCATCTGCATGTGAAGTAGGTGGGGGAAGCTAGAAGAGCTCCCATCCTGAGCACAGAGTAAATATCACAGCACTCCTGAGATGCACATTAACACAATAGGAGCCGACGCCTCTATGCAGGAGCATCCAGGGCAAGCAAAACATCTCAAAAGAGCTGCCTTATTGAGGTGGCAGTGTGTGTTATCCTGTGGTAGAGATGTGAATGAACCCAGTGCCCATGAGAGGTGAATGCCAGCTCTCTGTGCTCCAAGCAGGGCAATCCACAGCCAAGCCAAATGCTGCCATCCTACCTGAAGGGCCCCTGCCAGCCACCTACTGATCTTCCTGGCATGTGCTTGATGCAGAGAGAAGTGTAAACTGCTGGTTGCATTTCCTATAAGGATAACCTGCCTTTTAGGCTGCACCTGAAGGGCACTGTCTGACTCCATCTACAGAAAACACCACTAGTCTCTGTAGATGATTGTCCAGCCTTGGAAACACAGCAAGAGTTAACAGGTATGCACAGCTGCTAGAAGGTTCCTACTAAAAGGGGGGAAAAAAAAACCAAACAAAACAACAAACCACGGACCCTTCACCCTCGTATATGAAGTCATCTATTAAAAGCCCAAGCATCTTTGAAAATACAGATCAGGACAAAATAGCCTACTCACATGCCTTACCTCCACCCTGCCCTGTAGGACACACAATCTCTACAGGCACTCCAGAAAGGTGTGATCCACTCCCAGTTTGTGAATCAGACAGCTACAGCTGATTCCACAGTGGGAAGGTACAAACTGGTTATGGATGTCATATATTTATCATTACTGATTATCCAACTCCTTCTGCACAGAGCAAGTCATGAAAACAGTTTTAGGCATTCGCAAGATTCTGTGTGCATCTCTTCGAAACCAAACGGGCCAGCAGAGAAGCAGTGAACACTCAGGGAAAAAGAAAAAAAAATAAAAGGAAAAAAAATATAGCGTGGTTTGAAAAAGACTGAGATTGTTCAGAATAGCCTGTGCATTGCAACAGCTGGTCTAGGGGAGCTTCATATAAAGAGCCAACTTCACAAAAACATGGAAAGGAGAACAAACATTAAAAACTACTGAGCTCACTAGTCAAAACATCCATTTGGCACATAACAGGACATGAAGACACACAGGAGAGAGCAGTCTTGTCTAGCCAGCTTTGCAAGTACTGAGAATCTGGATCCCAAAACCTAAAGGAGCTAATTTTGAACAGAGCAGAGAAGCAACAGCACATTTCCTTTCAGTTTTTCCATAGAAACAATGCAAAACCTATGTTTCAACTAAGCAGACTAAGCCTAATAGTGGCAAAATTTGGCTCTCTGCTCTATAATGAAGACTCTATGTAACCAGAGGTAATTATCTAGAGTAAGGCATTTGGAACCACTCAGATGTCCAACTCTCATTGTATTTCTTGAAGGAAGACAATAAGTCATACTTTACCATTGCAACCCACAGGAAAACTGATTTCTGGTGACCTTCTACTTCCAAAGCAAGCATATAACAATACCATTCAAACAACGCTGCTTCGCAACATCTTTGAAGGCTTGCTTGCCTACCTATATACCTCAGACACAGCTGATGTAATTATAAGCATTGCCTAATTAGTGACCCTTAAGGCAGTTGCTTGAGGCAACAAAGGAGCTGCTTCAGGTGGGACTTATTGCAAGGTTTCTACCTACCTCCTGTTCATAATGCTACTCAATTATTTGGTGCTTTCTATCTTTCAGAAGCGAAGGAAAAATTTAATGTAACTATTCTAGTATTAATCCTGTCTGTTCTGCTTTTGCAACCAGGGATGAGAGGTAGGAAGAGTTTCTGATTGCCCCTAGTTAAGGGGAGGGAGGTTACAGCATCTGGTATTTAAAAAGAAAGGCCGAACACCAACCTGAGAGGAAAGAAATTAAAATCAAATGATGCAGTAGTTGCTCCAATTGAGTAATAAAGGTGGCATCAGCTAATAGTGAATGCTTCTAAGGTGCTAGCCAGGGAGCTGTGAATTCTCAACAATAGTCCTTGCTTTTGGACAAGTTGCTCTCTTATTTTAGTGTTTCTTAAAAGCGTTGGCTGAAAAGAGAAAAAAAAGTGTCTTTAGTCTGTGAAATGAGTGGCCATGGTTTCACTTTGTAGTACTGTAATGGAGAGCTGCTATTTGCCTGCCAAGTACTGTATTCATCACTCCCTCAAGAAAAGTTAACTCTGTCATAAAATTCAATTGAAAATGCCAGGATGAATACTTTTTTTATTGTAATCATGTCATCTATTTTCTCTGCCACATCTTTCCTTGTTCCATCTCCTTTCATAACATCACCTACTAGAGACTAAATATAAGCTACTCACCAAACTGAAACATCTGGTGACAAGAAGTGACACCCTGCAGGCTGCTCGGATCTGGATGCTCCCGCATTAATCTGGTAACTGGCGGGTGGGCATTTGTACACAGATTTGGACCATGCTCGCTGATGAAGCCACTGCTCAAAAGCATCTATTATGTTGGCCCCTTCACTGTATGCAGGGCCAAACTGGGGAGACTTAGTATACTTTCAGGAAGTCTGCTGTCATGCTATTTATGGCAGCCAGGATCATACAAAATAAGTATAGAGCCTCATTAGAGCAAAGGGTGTCTCCTGATGTCTGTGCAGCACCTGGCACACACTTCCTTATCCATGAAGATGGAAAGGAAGAATATGCTGGAAGTGGAGTTGTCCAGATACTGTTATGGCAGAGGGGTATAAGGTCAGGAGGTAAGCTGCTGTATTTCAGTGAGAAAAAGAAAGCAAGCAGGCAGGCTGGAGTACAGCCGGATGGTGAGTTCCAGTCACCTGCTAAGTCTGTCTCCCTGTAATAAACAGGTGTGCAGAGCAGCTGGAAACACCTGGTTGCTACTTGTGTGCATGACAATACACAGATATAGGCCAGCAAGAAAGAGTTGTATTTAAATTAGAAATTAGGATAGGAAGTTAAATCATCTTGATCTGGTCTCCCTTGGGTCATTCATGTAAGAGGAATTGCAAGCACGTGAGCCACACTGGGCAAAGCATTAAGTTTGAAGTAAGCTCTGGGCATCTTCCCAATGACATTTGTGGTAAGAGTGAGAGGGGGCATGGGGGAGAAGTCTGGATTACTGATAAGAGCAAAGCAAAACAGAAGTGCAGGGTACCCCCAGGGAAAAAGTAATTTAGCCTAGTTACTTGGGTCTATTTCTATACATCCAAAAAAAAAAAAGCAATAATAAATACATAAAATTACAGTGATACGAATGGATTCTGCTGACATTATTGGCATTTATTAAACTATGTCCTTAAGGACCTCAAGAGGGAAGGAAGCATGAGGGACAAGCAAGCAGAAAGGTAGCACCCAGTGTTAATAGAGCAGCCTTATATGAGCTCTGATGGTTATTTGAGGAGCTGGGTGGTAACTAGATGTTGATACAACCCAGATGCCTTCATTTTTCCCTATTCAGGTCCAGCTTTTTGCCCAAATGATAGGCAAGAGTAGACCAACTGAGCATTTACAGTTGTTCAGGTGAACTAGAACTCTGACAGGATTGTGCTGGTGGAGTGGATGAAACCATTCAAAATAGATGTGGATATGAGGGGACAGTAGGCAGATATTTGTTTTCATGGGGTTTGGGATTTTCAGTTTTTGTTTTATGTGTGCCAGTCTGAAGGGTATAATGACTGAGTCTGAAATACTGTCTGACTCCATCAGGATGTTAAATGCAGGTAAATGAACATGTGCCAGTGATGCTGACACTGAATGGGAGCAAGCAGCTGGTCTCTTAAGCACCGCAAGTGGAGCAGATGCTTTCAAGGCAAAGATGTGAAACAAAATAATAGATGTTACTCTTGCCTGCCTCCAGAAAGGGGCATGCAATTAAAAAGGAAGCATGAATGGAGCAGAAATTTCTTTAACTGGCAACAGTGTGCATCAAAAGAGCATGAGAAAAGCAGAAGGCATGGATTTCTGTCTTCAGAGACATCTCCATTTGTGTTGGCAACATATAGGAGGAAAGAGGTAGTAAGGCATTATCCACAGCCAAGTTCTGGGTCCTGATACACAAATGTGAGTGAGATTTGAGTAGCTGATATGATCTGATATGCAAACATGTTGATTTTTTCCAGCTAGCTGTAGGAATACAGTTGGAGGCTTTTCAATTGCTAGAGGGCTGGTTGAGAAGCTCATGGTATTGCTGATCTAATTCTTTAATAAATCTTAGAGGACTGGGAAGCTGTAAATACTGAAAACTGAGAGTGCTGGGCTAATATGCAGAAACAGGCAAGCTTGATAACCAATGCAGGTCTGACGGTGTGTTTAAAATGAAAGCTGCTTTTCAAAGGAAAACACTGTTTTCATTCAAGTTTAAATGTTTTAGAAGGGATTAGTCTTAACAAAGCATGATGTAAGCAAAACAGAAGGGAAATACCAACATGTTTTTGACACTCTTGGCATAGCACATTTTGAGCTTTGTTTAAAAAACTTTCCAAAACATGTTTGAGTAAGTTAAAGAAAATAGAAGCTAAAATGAGAATCAAACATTTTTCATTTGCTTGGATTGCCAAGAAAATTTCATGGAAAATTCTGATGTCATCTTGTGCTCTTTGTGTTCTGTTTGATGAGAAGAAAGGAGAAAAAAACAAAAAATCCCAAAACAAAATTGTGTGATTTCATTTGAATGGGAAACTAAGGTTCTTTATGAATCTGTATGTGTTACTGCAGGCTCATTTTCAGATGGGTCAATATGGAATTGCCCACATGTAGAACTTCAAAGTGTCAGTGTAATTAATCGGTAGCCAGTCAACTTGGTAGCTTGATGGGAGCAGATATTCCCAAATGACATTTTTCCATCAGTAATAACTGTAGGTATTTAGATGTAGTAGAGTTTTGTAAGCACTCCATTGTGCACATCAGCAGCAAAGTTTTGGTTCTTCATCCATCAACCTATAGATCTCAAAAGATAAGAATGTGTCATTGAACATGTTTCTAGTGGGAGTCAATGTCTTCATGGCTGATCTGGAGATAAATAAAACATCATTAGCTAACAACCGTAGCAGATGGCAGAAAGATTGTCTGTCATCACTATTTCCTGCTTCACCAAGCATGCAACGTGATCTGGATTGCCTGATGAACTGGCCCCAAGCAGATACACGGCAGTGTAACAATAAATTCATCTCTAAGATTATGCTAGCAGAGCGCTGGGGGGCACCTCAACCATAGCACCTCCTTGGAAAGGTGTTGGAATGGATGAGCAATGAAGACTGGTTTCCCACCGAGATGTGGTGGCATAAAGGAAAGAGTCAGTGGGAAGCAGTCAATAACCATGGGTCAGGGACTTCCCCTCCTTATGCAGCCCAGGCAACAGGAGAGACATCTCTGCCACCTGTGGTCTGAAAATGACAGCAAAAGAAAAGAACCTTTTGGAAAACTTGAGAACAAACCTATGATAGCCATGAATTGCCACATTAAAATACGTGAAAAGTCTCTTTGCTGTAGCAGAGAAAGGTAGAACAAGAGCTCTGTTTGGAAGCAAAAGCCAGGCAAAACAACAATCAGGCATGATATTAAGGGTGAGGCTGATTATTCACTTGAACAAATAGTGATGAGTGGGAAATCTCTTTGTTGTTTTCAAGCCAAATAACTTTGTGGCAGATATGTTTTAGTAAGGTAAAAATCATTAGCCTAATTACAGGCATATCAGTATAAATGTTGTGTCGCCTGATGTCTGGCCATTACTGTGTCTGCTATTATGAGGAATTAAAGTCATATTACTCTAGAAACCATTCTGCAACATTTATGTATCTCATTAACATCTTTGCAAAAGGGGCCTAAGTGGTGCAGTTATTATGTTGTTTTAAAGCTGCAGTGTCTCCCTGGACTGATCAGTAATGGTATATAACATGAACAAGAATCAAACCTTGCCTCTTTCACATGGATTTGAAGAGGCAGCTATGGGGTCATCCACTGATGTTTCTCCTTACTCCTGCCACAGTGGTTTAGCTCATGCATTTCCAGAACAGCAACACATTTTCCTGGATGCCACCTGAAGCCAAGTGGTGGTGAGCAGGCTTACGTTCCCCAGGCTGCAGCTCTGTGTTGCGGGTGTATCCTCTTGCGTACCCTTGCCTGTTGGACGTGGCTTTGGGTAATACTCTCACCCTGAGTATGTCACACTGGGCAGACACTATCCTAACTGGGCAGACACTATCCTTGAGGTGTTGCCACCCTTCACAGGTATTATGCTGAATTGATCATGGGAGAATAAATAAATAAATAAATAAATAGATAAATAAATAAATAAATGTGGAGCTAGGATTAAAGGTCTGAAACATTTTTCCCTATTTCTGGAGTCTGTTGGTTTCTTCACAATCTTCTCATTATTTGGGAAAACGTATGCTATAAATACTCTTCAATTAGATGCTCTAAGATCAGCATCGAGTGTAATAGAGGAAAATAAAGATCTTGTTGATGCTAGGAAGAAAAATTTATTAAGTTTTTGCAGGCTAGTGATCTGTCCAACATTTAAGATGTGAGGAGCAGCCCATTATTAGCATGTCCAGTGGAACTTGCTAGGGAGATACCTCCTGGGTACCAGAGCTTTGCAGTCACTGAGGCAAAGACAGGTTGATGTTGAGATGGACAAACTTGCCTGTGTTCCCTAACTGACTAGCTAGCTCTGTTCAGTGTCTTCATGACACCACCAGCCTTCCACAGATTAAAACCATCTAGGTGACAATGGAAATACTGTGCAAATTGCTGTGCACATTATAACGTGCTTGCCTTGTACATGCCTTAAGCAGAATATACAAAGTTTCATGAACCTTTTTATATTAGGGTAGAGTAGAATTTATCCATATACACTAACTCTGCTCCCCTCTGAACAGCTCTCTAGAGAGGTACGGATGGGGTGAAGGGGATTGTAGTATTGTTCTGACTGTTAACTTTGGAGATGATTGCATTTTTATTTATACAACTGACAAATACATGTATACCAGAGAAGAAAGCAGTAACTACAGTCCATCTGCACCAGTTAGTGTCAGATGAGACATGAATAAGTTAACTGATTTTCAGAGAACAGAATTCAACTCTGAAGAGTTTGTTCTGGTCTTTAAGCAGGAGCTCATGCTGGCGTTCATAGATATTTCTAAGCAATGTACTTAGGATGAGAGACAAACAAAATGGAAGGTTTCTCGTGTTTGGTCCGTGTGTTCTTGCTGAGACATCCCATCCAGTATGGTGTGCCTTTGGGCTCTGGGACATTGTCCTCAGGGGGCAAAGTCTCTGCACACACTGAAATCCACCATGTCTCAGTATTTGTTATGAGAGCAACCAAAGCCCTGGGTCCATCTGGTGTCTAGGAAAGGGGTAGTAAAATTGTACTAGCTCTATTGAAGCAACAGGAGAAGCAATGGTCCTTGCCAGTTTACATTTGCTCTTTCATGAAGAGATGACAGTTTGTGCCAAAAGGCTGGATTTGTGCATTCTGTATATCTGTTAGAAGCTCCAGCTGTTGCTTCCTGCATCTTCGGTTTGCTGTAGTTGACTGAGACAACAACACAGTCAAATAAGGACAAAGCCTGTAAATAAAAGCTGTTTAAATGCCAACAAATAACACATATGCTGACTCTGGAGGCTGGCTGGTTGCAAAGTATTTGTATTTTGTAGTTTGTGTTTTCAGCTCTACCAGAATGAGTATCGTGCCATGTCCAGTTGTAAGCAACTGGAACCATTTAACCATTTAATGGTATTTATATTACTTCTCACAAAGCATTCTACAGTTCACCAGTTTACTTCCCAAATATCTCATTTCTGCTTCTCTTTGATCGCTGAGAATGGCCACATATGAGCAAAACTTTCCTGAGCAATTTACAATGTGTCTGCTTGAAATTACAGAGAAATTCACTCCTGGAGAGTTCTCTGGAGTCTAAATTTCTAATTCCTATGGCATGGTGGGGGGGTTTACCCTTGTTTTATCTAGATCAACTCAACACCAGTTTTTTTGGTTCCTGTTTTCTTGGTCTGTTGCAGCATGGGAGAGCCATCAACTGTACTTGATCTGAGAAGGTCCAAGAAAGTCTGGGCAATCCTAGGGAAGAGGGGCTGTTGTGGAAAGGAAAGCAATGTGTGAGTTATAACTGAGCTTCAGCAATATTAAAATGGGCAAGATGTCCAGCAGATTCACTTGGGCTGCACCTAAGGACGTCAGATAAGGGATGTGTCCTGGAGCCACAGACCCCGTACCCCAGGGCTCAGTTCATATTTCCAAGGCAGAAGTAAAATAATTACTTGCCAGCCTGAGAGGCAACAGCTAGACTGAACAGAGTGGTGAAGGAGACCCTTTTTTTGTCTCAGGAAAACAAATGCAGTGTACTGCCCTGTCTGGTATGTCTGAGCATCAATAAAGGCAAGTGGCTGACTCCCAGGATTAGCTCCCTTCCTTGGTGGGGAGAGAAGTCATTGCACAAAGCAGAATGAATCAAATGAAGTTTTCATTGCGGGTGAAGAGTGGCAAATACTGCTGACAGCCATCTCAATGGGCTAATGAAACAGCAGCCCCAGGGAGACTCTTCAAAGATTCTTTCTGTTTTTTAATGAAGTGTGGTTGAGTTTTGACCCCCTCAGCTTCAGCCCCTCAGGTTTTCTGTGAGCATTTGAGGTCTTGTTCCTATCCCTGAGCTCATTGACTACTTGGAGAATTTTTTTAATCATATTTCCCTAGGTTTGTAATGGTTTTCTTTCTTGCTGCTTGAAAGGTCATGCAACTGACAGAACAAATTCATCATATGGTGAAGCTGGGAGAGGGACTGAGCCCAAGAGCCCACTGTAAGCACTGGGAACAGGAGGGGACCTCGGCCAGCTTGGGCAAACCACCTCCCCAGGCACAGCCTGATGAATACAGTTCCAACATTAACCATTTCTGATGGTACTTACAACAACAACAAGTTAAAGAAATCAGTTTTATTTAGAGAGAAGGGACTTGTCTTTAAACTTTTGACCAAGTTGTTTTAAAACACACTGGATAACACACCATATTGCACAGTGCACTCCTGCCTTCATTAGCACAGTTTTATCCTTTGCAAAATGCAGGCTTGCACTCCCTTCTCCAGAGATTACTTCCAGGAGCACAGCTTCTTCCACCTCCTCCCTTCTGACCCCTGATCTGGGGACCTGCCCTCCCACAAGTGACCCCAGCAGCAGTCCTGAGGCAAACATAACCACATCTGGGAAAAGCAATGCCAGAGAAACACATTTTCAGCTTCACTTTACAATTTAAATAAAGGAGAGGGACCTGGGCAGGCACCCCCCAGCCACTGCTCTGTGTGGCTGCAGGTCCCTGGCTCAGATCACCAGCACTGATGATATTGCTGCAGTCCTCGTGCTGACATGGGACCGATGGTGAACAACACCATGCCCTAAAATTATCTTAGCTGAGGCTGCAGTGAGTTCCTTTTGCTGCCCAGAACCTGCGGTGCCATCAGCCACTTGGCTAAAGTACGTAGAAGTCATTGTTGTTTGACAGGTCACTGTAATGGCACAGGGCAAGACCAGGAGCCTGTGCTGATGGGGGGTCAGGTCGACTTCTGCCCTGAACCCCCTGTGCTGTGGGTCTGCCTGAGCCCGACTTGCAGAGTTGAGTGTCCCACCTGTGCTCAGCCACAGCCCGATGCTTGCGCTTGAGTCTGCTGCCACCATTGCAATAGGTCCCACAACACCGGCACGTCAAGAAGTGCTTTGCTCCATGTCTGGCCTTTGACTTGGGGGCTGTGGCTGTCCCTCCGGGAGCAAGAGTCACTGCTGTGGCACCCCGTGGGTTAGACTGCCCTTTCAACCGGCTCCTTTTCCTCTGGATGGGGTCCAGGCTGATGTCTGACTGGGAGGAGCAGCTCTCATTCCAGCCGGTGTCAGCATTCAGGCTGCGCAGAGGAAGGGCAAGCCGTAATGCCTTCCAGAACTGGGAGCCGGATCGCTTGGACTTCTCTCCCTTCCAGGTGACAAAGGAGACGGACTCCTTCAGCTGGAGGATACTGGGGTGGGTGCACTGCAGTGGCCTGTACTCCACCACGATAAGCTTGGTGGCGATGGCATTCTGGCACATGATGCCCAGCTTAAACTCCAAAAGGCTGATGCTCTTCTCTGTCAAGTAATCAGGACTCAGGACCACGATCATCCTTCGGCTCCTCTGGATGAAGTCAAACACAGCTTCAGTAGTATCTAAAAGTGCAAGGACAGAGGAATTGGGGTGCACAAGGGGGAAGGAGCAGGGAGAGAAAAGCTGAAGGAAGGTTTTTGTGGCATACTTGCACAGATTCCCCCCTTCCCACAGAGGGAAACCTGGCACAAGTCCAGTGACTTTCAACTTGTCCATGATCCTGCTGTCAGGAGCAATAAGCAGCATTTTTGCTTTGCAATGTGTTTTTGAGAAGGCTGCAGTGGTGAATAAGAAGGGAGGATGGTAGGATATGCCAAGACATACTCTTGACTTCTGCCCTGCACAGCATCACTCCTGACTAGGGAAGTGCAGGCATTTGATAAAGGGCAGGTCTTGTTTGGGAACCACCCGCCCACAGCTCTAGCAGCCCCTTGCATGGGGGGAACAAAGTGAAGCAATCTAGTCATCATGCCAGTTTGCACTGCTGAGTCCCACCACTCTCCCTCTCATGCTCTCTCATCTAGAAATGGAAGCCTCCAAGCTTAGAAAGCAAAAGTCAGCTATAGGTCTCTCCACCAGTTCCCCTAGCCATCATGGGGGGTGAAAATACCATCCTGCAAAAGCATGTCTTGGGATTAATTGCAGTTTGTAAAGCTCAGCAAGATGCTTAGTTGGAATGGTGCCAGGCAAGGCCAGCATCTCTTTTATTATCAATGTTAAAAAGCAGCAAACCTGAAGGATGACCTTGGACTTCTATCTACGGCTTGAGCTGCAGTAAGCATATTGAAGATGTCACAGCTAACGGGTGAACAGTGGAAAGGATGTGAATTAATAGGGTTGTGGGGCTCAGCAAATTAACTCAAGCTAATTAACAGAACTGAAAACTTAAAAAGCACACCCACTTACTGAGTGCTGGTGCCTAAGATGGAGGGGACCTGAGGACAAGGTGGTTCAAGCAAGACAGGGATCATCAGAGTAAGAGCTCTTGCACACTCAGAGAGAAAAACCTCCCTGTAGAATGTCTTGCAAAAAGCTGTCCTGGGGAGAAGGGCTACCTGCTGCTTCTATTGCCTTTCACACTAAAAGCTAAAGCCTTGATTCCTCAATCTGGAGACTCATTTCCTTCCCTGCCAGTGGAACACTGATCTTTTGTACCCATGAAAAATACTGCTCCTTCCCTACAATGGCAATGCCTCTTATTATTCCAGCACTTGACTGTCTCTTTCCTCAGCTCACAGCAGAATGTGCACTGTGTTGCAGCTAGATGCACCTTATTTTAATATTATAAGGAGCAATATATATTAATTTTTTTAAAGGCATATGACTAGCTGTAAAACTTACTGTCACAAGATTATTTGGGGACTAAGAACTTGGGATAGGAAAAATGACTCTACAGTAATATCCTGGGAGATGGATGGTGAGTGGCAGTGGAACAGAGCAAGTAAGGCACCGTTTGGTTCTTTAACATAATACTGGAAATTAAATCAAGCTATTTGGAGCATTTTATCTTGTACACAAGGTTTGGGTGGATTTCCCCTGCCACACACATGAAAACACTGATTCATTGAAGCCAAAAGTAGAAGATAAAGTCAATTCTGTCAGAATTGTCACTTAACGCTGTGAATCATTCTTACCACTCTGTTTCAAAGGCACAAAGAATTGGCAGCAATCTCCTAATTTACTGAGTCCAGACCTCATTCAAACCTTTCTATAACTGGTTGAGATCTATTTTGAAATCAGCCAAGCTTTAACATTTTTTGAAAGAAAAAGCTTTTTCCTGGTTTGAAAGGTTTCTTTTTGAAACTGGAATCACAGAAATCACAGTGCAACGTAGTCAGGAGCAGCCCCTGGGAAGTCACCTATTGTACCTGCCTGCACAAAAAGCACAAGTTCAATTAATGCAAATGATCCCAACACTGCTGAAATGAAATGTTTTGATTGAGCTGACAGTGACAGTTTTCTTTCATCGATTTTGATTCTGCAACACTTTCTGAGACTTGACATTTTTTTGGCAGGGAAAATGCTCAAGTTCCCAAAGATAGATTTTATGTCTGAGAATGAGATGCATTTAGACTTGGCTGACCAGGATAGCTTGACATGTTCAGTTTACAACATAATTCCAGCTCATGAAAAATCCTGAGTGGCCACTTCACAGTGTGAAGGGAGGATGGTCCCTCCCAGTGACACCAACAGCACAAGATGGAACAGGCAGCAGTAACACTGCAGGGATTTGGGTACCAACAGAGCCTGGAATCTGATACTCTTGGATATCTGCTTTATACTGAAAAACTCCCATGTTTACTACATGGTTACAAAATCAGTGCATATTTTTGTCTGTTTACTTGTGTCTCGCCTAGTGCACCCCAGAGATCTAACACAAGATTGTAAGAGCTATACTTGTGTCCCAGCCCAATAAAAGCTAGGGGCTCATAGGCCCCATATTCATACCCCAAAGACCCCAGATCCATAGATTGCCTTAAGTATTCATTTTGCTAGTGGTCTGGACGTGTTAGGCTCTCTCCCAATGTACCTGCTAGCATATAAACAAGGAAAAATCTCAGAAAGTGGCTTGGATGAGAAAATACAAAGCTGAATGAACCTTTTCTACCCAACTGCCTGAAAGGTGGTGCGCAAAGTGGATGAAGAGTTTGATTCCTGTGGTTAGGGCAGTTTTCCAAGATTTCTGTTCAAAGTTCTGGCTTGGTCTCTCAAGCAAAGGGATGGTGTTTCCTTCCCAGCTTTCTATATTGTGATTGATTGCTGAGTGAGCACTCTTTGGGTCAGTGGCTTTCTCTGTGTGTGCATGTCCACCATTGGGTGACATTTGAATACTGTGTGTCATTGTGTTTCCACTTGTATGGCCTTGGTAGCAGTGGCAGTGCCTCAGAATATCTGCAGGCACACCATGAAACAGACAAGAAAATGCCCCATCGCTAAGGAGGTGTCCCCAAATGATCCTGATGCTTGGACTACACAGAGTTGTATTTCCTTAATGGCCTTTTGCAGACATAATGGGGAGGAAAATTATACTTATGAGAAATGCACAAGCAATGAAATGCAAAAGTGGAAATGTTTTATTGAAAAGCAAAATAAAATATAAAAATAATAATAAATTATATATATTATATAAAATGATTATAAAGCAAAATAAAATAATAACAGCAATAAGTGGTGTCCCTCAGGGATCGGTGTTGGGACCGGTCTTGTTTAACATCTTTGTCGCTGACATGAACAGTGGGATTGAGTGCGCCCTCAGCAAGTTTGCCGATGACACCAAGCTGTGTGGATCGGTTGATACGCTGGAGGGAAGGAATGCCATCCAGAGGGACCTTGACACGCTTGTGAGGTGGCCTGATGCCAACCTCATGAAGTTTAACCATGCCAAGTGCAAGGTCCTACACCTGGGTTGGAGCAATCCCAGGCACAGCTACAGGCTGGGCAGAGAAGAGATTCAGAGCAGCCCTGAGGAGAAGGACTTAGGGGTGCTGGTCAATGAGAAAATGAACATGAGCTGGCTTCAGTGTGTGCTCGCAGCCCAGAAAGCCAACCGTATCCTGGGCTGCATCAAAAGGAGCGTGACCAGCAGGTCGAAGGAGGTGATCCTGCCCCTCTACTCTGCTCTCATGAGACCTCACTTGGAGTATTGTGTGCAGTTCTGGTGTCCTCAACATAAGAAGGACATGGAACTGTTGGAACAAGTCCAGAAAAGGGCCACAAGGATAATCAGGGGACTGGAGGACCTCCCATATGAAGACAGGCTGAGAAAGTCGGGGCTGTTCAGCCTGGAGAAGAGAAGGCTGCATGGAGACCTCATAGCAGCCTTCAGTATGTGAAGGGGGCTATAGGGATGCTGGGGAGGGACTCTTCATTAGGGACTGTAGAGGTAGGACAAGGGGTAATGGGTTAAAACTTAAACAGGGGAAGTTTAGACTGGATATAAGGAAGTTCTTTCCTGTTAGGGTGGTGAGGCACTGGAATGGGTTGCCCAGGGAAGTTGTGGATGTTCCATCCTTGGCAGTGTTCAAGGCCAGGTTGGACGAAGCCTTGCGTGGCATGCTTTAGTGTGAGGTGTCCCTGCCCATGGCAGGGGGGTTGGAACTAGATGATCTTAAGGTCCTTTCCAACCCTAACTATTCTATGATTCTACGATTCTATAATACTGACACTTCACAGGTCAAATAACAAAAGGCAAAAACATACAGAAAAGAGAAGGGAAAACTTCGGAACAGCTGTACAACATCAAATGGCATAGGAAGGTATTTTTTGCAATTTATGCCACACTGCTTCCCCATGAAATAACAATGAGGAACTTTGTATGAGGTGCATATTGATAAATGTTAGAGTAGAGCACAGAAATTTGAATGAATCAACTGAAGTAAACATGCTGTGACAGAATCCCACAATGGAAACCATACATGGCATACAATGAAATGGCAAGCATATACGAGGTGCTTTGCAGATCTGCATTACAGCTGGGACTGGGCTATACCCCTGGCTTGACAGCTCCCAGAAAAGCCAGAGGGAAAGCTTCCAGGAGAGCGGTGCCTGCTCCAGTGGTATTCCTTCCATGCTGCTCCTTTTGGACCTCTCAGGCTCCCTTAAGACCATCACACCTTTTGCCTTGTTGGTGCTCTGCTGATGTCTCTCAGTAATCCTGTTCTGGGGTTGCAATGGCACCAAGGACCAAAGCAATGTATACTGGAGAAAATCCTGGTCTATTATTTATTTGGAAAACCCCTTGAATAAAATCAGCCAAACAAATGAGGTGGATTTAACTTCCTAAAATAATCAAACTTACTAAAATATCAGCAGTTCTCTTGGTAACTCAGCCAAAAATGAGATGTGATGTGGTGAGGTCTGGGATGTTAATTGAATTTATGCGTATTTTTGTGACAATTTTTTAAAAATCAAATTGGAATCTAACACAGTTCTGCTTTAGCCTCAGGGCATTCCCTCTGCCTGCAGATTGGGCAGCTGATCACAGAGATGCTGAAAATACAAAAAAGGGGAAGCTGGGCAAAACGACATGTTGCAAGGGATTCATAAAACTGAGCATGGTTTTGGGTGTTATCTAATACAAATGAAGCTTTCTGGAGTGTGGGAGGCATCTCTGTCCCTCCATAGACATAGTAGAAAAGCTTGTAACAGCAAAGCTTTTAAGCACCTCTGAGCAGATGAGGAGCTCCACTGCCTTCAGTGAAGTTAACTGAAATTTTACCTGCTTAAAGCAAAGCTTACTTGGGGTGGGGAGGATGAAGAAGGTGAGAAAGAAGCCCTATTTGTTCCATATTTGTACAGTACTTGCCCAATGGCAGCTCCCCAGTGCCCTGGAATAACATTACAATCATAAGACGCTAAGAGCAAGAGGCTTCACTGATGTCAGGATCCAGCCCACACCTTTAAGTCTGGGCTGTTTACTGGGATGCTCTCAAACCTTCCTGCTCAGCTGGGTGAATAATGTGTAGATTGCAAACCATAGTGCTTTTTTAATGCCATTATGAATGGATATGCTTCACCTGACAGACACCAACAGTGAAAACATGAGTCAGAGGTGACTCAGGAGCAATCATTATCAATAAAAAAGAGGCCTTGGCAGCACCTTGCTTGATGCTTTTGCCCAGCCAGCAGCACAGAGAGAGTGGGCAAGTTCAGTAGTGAATGGGCGTTCCTTACAGTACTTGTGAAATCCCTGAGTTTACTCTACAAAGATACACCTCTCAGACATGCTCCATGGCCTGTACTAACAAGAAATTTACCCTGGATTATGAGCATTACAGCTCCGAAAGATCTGGGATACTCAGGAGACTGCAGAGTCACAGAGACTGACCACTTATTAGTAGAAATGCTATAGTACAGAGCTTTTCTTTGGGTTTTGGGTTGGTTTTTTTTAAGGGCATTTGTAACAGAAATTTCAGATTGCCAAACTACCTGAATGCACCTGCTCCTTCAGAAATGTGAGGAGCAAAGATAAGGGGCCTCAAGAGTCTGCAATCCTGCCACTGAAGCGGAACTGTGATCTCACAGTAATCAGGACTATGTAGCTGGGACATGTATGAAAGGCTCTATACTGGAGACACCTTTCAAACTGTTCTCCCTAGCCTCTGCAACAGGGACCACAGACCAGGATAGAGTGAAGCCACTTCAGGAAAAAGAGGAGTTCTGTCCTGGAAGTTAATGAAGGTCCCATAGGATTTGGATCTAGGAGCAATACCATACTATCACAAGGTGCTGACTGCATCCCACCTGGACACCCCAAATTTCAACCCTGAGCTGAGGGCTTTTGTGGTTAATGACAAGGACATGCATTTGCAGAGAGGAGGTGTGTGCATCTTTGGTGTCTCTACTGCCAGGGCAGTAGAAGAGCTGCAGGGAGGCACAACTATCCTCTGAAATGCTTTGCGGCAGTCCTTTATGGGAAAAAGGCTGAGTTCCTTCACACTCCCTGGCCCAACCTGTGGATTTCTGGGGTTTATTTTGTTTTGATTTCTGATGGTGTCAAACATTTTTCAGGGGTACATATGAGCCCATCAAGGCTCAGGCTCCTGCTAATTTTTGTCACTGGCATTTCCACCCGCAACTGATTCCAGAATCTGCCCTCTGGAAATCTGGATTTCTCGCCTTTCCATTTAATGACAGTCAAGGCCGCCATGGCCTTCTTCAGCTCCTTCACTTTGCTTTGCTTGATGGCTTTGTACTGCACTAGAATGACTTTGATGTTGCCTTTGGAGGCCATATTCTCTAGACCAGCTTTAAGCTCCAGCAGGGCCTGTGTTCCCTGCAAGACGTAGTTGGGGCTCAGGACAACAAGCAAACGTCGACTTTTCTGGATGAAGCTCAGGGTTTCGTCTGTGACAACTGGGAGAAAGAAACATTGAGGTGGTTAGTGATGGAGGAGAACATGCTGCTGAGCTGCTAGTGTCACCCTGGTTGTCTCTTGAAGAGGGCAATCAAGTCCCTTGGAGGCACTCTCTAGAGACTATACTGGTGTTTCCCAACCCTGCAGGTGATTCCAGGTAGGGCTTCCTACACCATCACTGGTACCCACTGCCCCATACAGTGACATCTTCGACAACATCTTCTACTCCCAGCCCCAGGCTGCCTGCATATGTGTTTCTTCATCGCCATGCCACACAGATGCCTGAGATAGAACAGTGCCTTTTAGGTGTAGCTATGTGTCAGTGACACTTCCCAATGCTACAAGAATGCTATGGGGCCAAGAGGGCTGCTCTGGTAGGCTCAGATTTAGCTTCCTTGTAGTGACAGTAGAAAAAGAGGCTGTGAAGCAAAACAGAAAAATTGCCAGCTGGAAAAGACTCGGCCTGAAGAGGCACCAGGAAGCCCAAATGCCTACTTACACCCTCCTCTGGCAGGTGTCCAGAATGACTCTGGGTTCTCCCTTCACTCATCTTGCCTCAGTTTACCCACACCAAACACTAAGTATTCACACCCTCCCTGAGTGCCCTCATGGGTTAATTTGCTTTGGAAATACTACCATCCTAACTCCTGTTACTCATCCAGCTATTCCTGTTGCTATCATTGATGAACGCAGATTTGAGTGCTGCTAGGAGAAGTTGCTAGAAGCAATGAGGACTGTTAATAAAGTGTCCTAAAAGTGACACTGTTCAAGCTGGCCACATGTCATGGTAACTGTGGATCCTTTTGGATTTTCTAACATTAGGAGGTAGACTGTCCTTAGGCACCTTTCCATAATTAATGTGAAAATTCCTTTCAAGTGTGAATCCTCTTTGCACTCTTTGCTGCAGGATCTCCCATACTTCATTGACAAGGGAACGCTCTTGACTACTTAGAAAATACAATGGAGAATAGAATAACACTGACAGGCAACTTCATTTAGCTGTCAAACAAGTTTGATTAGTTCCCATTAGCAAACTTGCAGGATAATCCATTTCCCACTGTTTCTTCATCAATGACAACATAGCTCTTCCTGTGACACAAATGCACACTCTAGAGGCATGACACCAGCTGCCAAAAGCTATTTATTTCCTGGCCACCATGCTTCCCCAAGAAAATGAGTCAAATCTTAGCTAAGAAGCAATGGGAAAGCCCCAGCAGTGTTGCAAATGGCAGTGCAATGACAAGCCACCCCTGCAGTGCCCTGGAGGGCTGGTGCTGGATTGAGACTGGTAGTCACTGCCATTGATCGGTGTGGGAGTACTCCAGGGGTGAGGCTGAAGGGCAGGGGGCCCAGAAATGATGCACTGGGAGGAAAAGGAGACTCTACAAAGACAGAAGGGAAGAATGGCAAGAAGTGGCAAAGGGAACAGGAGGGAGGTTTATGTCTTGAGGAGGAATTCATGAGAACAGCTCACCGGCTCTGAGCCTGACCTTGGCATCACGCAAATAGAGCCTGGAGGGTGCCCTGCCATGTCATCCAGGCTCTTGCTAGAAGGAACACTACCAGGACTGCAGCTGTGTGCCTGTCCCCTGAGGCACATATATTTATTTGCCTTCAAACTTAGAGATGCTGTGTCCTGGCAACAGGCTAGGAGATAGATAACAAATCCCAGACTGATTCTGCTCCCTCTGTCATGCAGCTGGGTTGGGACCCCCAGCAGTCCCCCTGTCCTACCCAAAAGGGACCTCAATGAACTTTATCAGCACAGGTTGTCATCTGTGGGGACCTGACCCAAAGCCCATGAATTCAAAGTAGGGCAGCCTGCCCTGGCAAAAGCTCAGGTTTTGAACTTTTAGTAGGCATCAGGGATAATACAGTCAGGACACTGGAAACTGAGTCTTGGTATTCTGCCTTGGTGAGGCCGCATCTGGAATATTGTGTCCAGTTCTGGGCCCCTCAGTTCAAGAAGGACAGGGAACTGCTTGAAAGAGTCCAGCGCAGAGCCACAAAGATGATTAAGGGAGTGGAACATCTCCCTTATGAGGAGAGGCTGAGGGAGCTGGGTCTCTTCAGCTTGGAGGAGACTGAGGGGTGACCTCATCTATGTTTACAAATACGTAAAGGGTGAGTGTCAGGATGATGGAGCTAGGTTTTTTTCAGTGATGTCCAGCGACAGGGCAAGGGGCAATGGGTGTAAACTGCAGCATAGGAGGTTCCATGTGAACATCAGGAAAAACTTCTTTACTGTGAGAGTGACAGAGCACTGGAACAGGTTGCCCAGGGGCGTTGTGGAGTCTCCTATGTTGGAGATATTCAAGGCCCTCCTGGACAAGTTCCTGTGTGATGTACTCTAGGTTACCCTGCTCTTGCAGGGGGGTTGGATCAGATGATCTTCTGAGGTCCCTTCCAACCCTTCGATTCTGTGATTCTGTGTCTTGGCTAGATTTGTGCCCTTTCCGTGGCACCTGTGTAACTGTATGCATAGCTGGAGAGTTTCACAAACTTCCATTCTTGGTTATTCCCTGCACCCCTTGAGGAGATGATGTGTTCAGAAGCTTGTACAATTTTGCTTGAAACAGTGAAAAAAACCCCTACATCTTAGTGATGACTCTTGCTACCTGCAAAGTACTCTTAATCATAGCAACTCGACTGTATGCCATGTTAAGATATAGACTCTAATGAAACTGAGTGGGAGGCCTTCTGGGAGGGCACTTTATCTTGCCACTGATGTTGGCAAGGTGCTTTCCACACCTTCCTGAAGCAGACATTCCTGGTTTTTGCAGGCACTCTGTGAGCTACCAGTCTGGTTAGTATCACACACCCCCTGCCTCCTTTCTAGCTTTGACCTTATTCCCTTTTTTTAAGGCAGATCAGCAGTTTGCATGGTCAGTGGTCTGATTCCCTCATGCTGATAGATCAATCACTCCTGCACATCACTCCTGGGAAGAGCAACTAAAACAACCAAACACCACCACTTGCCCACCACAGCCTTTTTGGTGGTCTGGAGCATCTGCAACATTGTCATGTGAAGCAAACACATTAGAAGATATCAAAAAGAGATCATTAATACAGATGGGAAAAAATAAAGAATAAAATTAATCTTGATAGTCCAGTTCCTATCAGTTTTCAGTACATCAAAGAACAATAAAGAGAGGGTGCACATGGAGCACAGCTCCTGTGAAATACTCACTTCCCCCGGGGAGGCTGTCTCTGTCAAAGATACACAGCTTGTACCCAAACTCATTCTCCAAGACTCCCCGCAGTGTCAGCAGCACAAATTCCTCCTCCTCCGCATTGCGTGCGTAGGACACGTACACATCATACTCCTTCCCGTCTGAGGATTGGAAGTGCAGAGAAACACAAATAGCAGAAGAGACACCTGTAATACTGCACATGCTGAGCCTTTGACTTGTTTCATGGGAAAAGCAGTGAAAACTCACTAAATATATGAAGGCTCACTTTAAGCCTGGGCACCATACATTAAGACACACAGTTACAAGGCAGCAGCACTGCCTCTTTAACTACCCCCATGAACATGGAGGCACTCAGACTCTGATGGGTCACTGAAGGCATGAGACCACAGCAAGATGACTAACACGTTCTGCTCAGGGTCCTTTTGTCTTTTGACATCTCTAACATTGCTTTCTCTCACTGCTGTCTATCCACATGAACAGTTCCTCCAGACAGAGACTTGCACTCTGCCTACACCCTCCAAGCACCCCCGTGGCAGGTTCACACCCCAATCTGCAAGGAATTGAACACCCTCCTTATCCTACAGAGTCAGAAATCTCAGCTCTGAGTCCTAAGAGATGAACTCCCAGCAACACAGGGAAGCTGTGGAAGAACTGAGGACAGAAAGGTTATTCCAGATCCATCCCTTTGGATGCCTTCCCACATTTTAAAGCAAATCCTGGATTTCAATGAATCCTTTCATCAAAGAAACCAGGGACTTACTGAAACTTGTCAACTTATTTTGATCTTCTAGATCAGATGAAACAGCTAGCCATCAGCAGGTCAGTGCCCCAGGGAGCCTGATACATCCATGCTTTATCACTGCAGGGAATACAGAGGACTTCTCTCTCCTTTCCCCTGACCCAAACCTGACTTCTCTTGCTCTAAAATGACCCACACAAATGAATACAGGTATAGAAATAGAAGGTCAAAATGTCATTATGCTGTGAAAAGGGTTAAAAATAGCTTATATGATCACTCCTTTATGAAAACGAAGGGTCTGGCCTCTAGGAGGGTAAAATAAATGCAAGCCCTTTAGCTCCTTACCTAGAATGGTTTCATCTGTTCCAAAATGAGCCCGATAGAAGAGGACCATTTCAAGCCAATAAACATGATAGATGACTATAAGTACCACAATGAGCAGGATGGTTGCTCCCAGTCCACAGGCCAGCTCCACGGTGTACTTCGGTGCTACAGCTGGGTTCAAAAAGAAATAGGAGGTACAGTTTACAGAGCAGGCTGGGCCTTCAGCTAAGTAGGAGAACGCTTGTGTCACATGTAGCCAAACACCACAGAGGAACAGACAGGAGTCAAGCTGGCCAAGCCAAGACTTTTCTGGCAGGACATAAAGGATGGCCATGCTGGAGTCCCCATTTGGGGTTATTAGGTCTGGTTGGCCTGGCAGAGCAAGTCAAAGCACAGGCTGGACTTCTGTCTCTGAGCGAGACCATGGGAGCAGCCAGGTGGTAGAATGATCTGTTGGTGGAATCCACTCGCATGGTCCAAAGTCAGCTGGTGAACATAACCTTCTCAGCAGTACATGCAAACCCCTGGGACAACACTACAGCACTTACTGATAGGACAGCCAGCTAAAACTGACCTGCTGTAAAACGAAGGCAGTGGCCACCATTTTCTTAGCCCATCTAAGCCATAAAGTTCTTGTGGCTTGTCTCAGACTGACAGCAAGGATGTAACTAGCCACAGTCTGATTGTTTTCTACCAGGAAAGATGAATCAGAATTCATTACAGAAAAGCTGAAATATTCAAAACCAAATAGGAAAACCTGTGGACATCAAGCGAGAACATCACAGGCCCCCTTCAACTCATACAGTGTCTGTCACACCACTGCTGCTTCTTTGTGTTAAGGACAGAAAATAACTCTTCTAACTGTGTCCCTGGGCAACTCTGTTTTTGTGGCAATACAGGTGGCAGCTGACATGCATACTGGCAAACTACATGATAAAAGAACAGCAGTGACTGGAAAAAAACAAATTCCAAGATTTAATAATTTTTGTTAGAAACTGGATTGCAAGAAAGAAAATGGAAGAAATTTAGGAGGAAAGGAAGAAACTTTCAACAGGTGATGAGCAGCAGAAGTATATGAAAACCCAATTAATGAAAGAGCTGGAGCCAATCATAGAATCATAGAATACTTAGGGTTGGAAAGGACCTCGAGATCATCTAGTTCCAACCCCCCTGCCATGGGCAGGGACACCTCACACTAAAGCATGCCATGCAAGGCTTCGTCCAACCTGGCCTTGAACACTGCCAGGGATGGAACATCCACAACTTCCCTGGGCAACCCATTCCAGTGCCTCACCACCCTAACAGGAAAGATTTTTTTCCTTATATCCAATCTAAACTTCCCCTGTTTAAGTTTTAACCCGTTACCCCTTGTCCTACCACTACAGTCCCTAATGAAGAGTCCCTCCCCAGCATCCCTATAGCCCCCTTCAGACACTGGAAGGATGCTATGTGGTCTCCATGCAGCCTTCTCTTCTCCAGGCTGAACAGCCCCAACTTTCTCAGCCTGTCTTCATGTGGGAGGTCCTCCAGTCCCCTGATCATTCTCGTGGCCCTCCTCTGGACTTGTTCCAACAGATCCATGTCCTTTTCATGTTGAGGACACCAGAACTGCACACAACACTCCAAGTGAGGTCTCATGAGAGCAGAGTAGAGGGGCAGGATCACCTCCTTCGACCTGCTGGTCACGCTCCTTTTGATGCAGCCCAGGACACGGTTGGCTTTCTGGGCTGCAAGCGCACACTCCTGGCTCATGTTCATTTTCTTATCGACCAGCACCCCCAAGTCCTTCTCCGCAGGGCTGCTCTGAATCTCTTCTCTGCCCAGCCTGTAGCTGTGCCTGGGATTGCTCCGACCCAGGTGTAGGACCTTGCACTTGGCATGGTTAAACTTCATGAGGTTGGCATCAGGCCACCTCACAAGCATGTCAAGGTCCCTCTGGATGGCATTCCTTCCCTCCAGCATATCAACCGATCCACACAGCTTGGTGTCATCGGCAAACTTCCTGGGGGTGCGCCCAGTCCCACTGTTCATGTCAGCGACAAAGATGTTAAACAAGACCAGTCCCAACATCGATACCTGAAGGACACCACTCGTTACTGGTCCCCAGCCGGACACTGAGCCATTGACCACAACTCTTTGCATGCTGCCATCCAGCCAGTTCTTTATCCACCGAGGGGTCCATCTGTCAAATTGATGTCTCTCCAATTTAGAGACAAGGATGTCATGTGGGACAGTATTGAACGCTTTGCACAAGTCCAGGTAGATGACATCAACTGCTCTAACCCTGTACATCAGTTCCATAGCCCCATCATAGAAGGCCACCAAATTGGTCAGGCAGGATTTCCTTAGTGAAGCCATGCTGGCTGTCACCAACCACCTTGTTGATTTTCATGTGCCTTAGCATACCTTCCAAGAGAATCTGCTCCAAGATTTTGCCAGGCACGGAGGTGAAACTGACTGGTCTGTAATTCCCAGGGTCATCCATTTTCACCTTCTTGAATATATATATATATATATATATATGTGTGTGTATATATATATAAAATACACTATAATATATACTACATAATATATATAGTTATATACAGAAAACATATATAGTTACTCACTAAAACCTGGAAGACAAGTGCTGAGGGGTTAGATTCTGGCATGCTTGATGTTATTGTGTGCTGTGGGATGGTCTACAGTGAACTTAGTTTAAGGTTGCCCTGCCAGCAGTGGTTAGGGATTGTTCTTAGATTTTGCTGTAGAACAGAGCAGAAAGGAGGCAGGTCTGCTCAGAGCAAACCCACTCAACTGCCCAGGACCAGACAGTGGAAGAAAAGAGCCCACTAGAAAACAGCATTTAGGCACTGGTGTATAGAGAAAGAATCTGAAGTTTTTAGATTCACTTCTGCTACATGTATAAACATCATCCCAGATGAATTACATTTGTAGGATGAATACACTGGCAGATGGTTTTGGACTCAGTTATGTTTGCTCTATTGTTCCTTGCTAATGATCCAGAAAAGTTTTGTGTCAACGGAATGGGACTAAAAAGGAAGAAGGACATTACCAAGAAGGAAGAGAAAGATCTCATCAAGTAAAGACCTTTGTAAGCCTTCCCGTGTTAATAAGGCAGAGTCAGGGGAAGAAGGTACACAAGGCAGGGCAGCACCCCTTATGGGAGAGAGGAGGTTCAACCTACAATAAGCAAGTATTGAAGCTCTGATGAGGTTGATAAGGAGGCAGAAGTATCCACCTTAATCAGGAAACCTCACATCTATGGTGAAGACTCAGTTTTTATTACTGAGAAGTGGTCTGGGAAACAGGAACAAAATCTTTGATGAAAGAAAGACATAGGGAAAACCCCACACTGAATAGACCTGTATCAGTCCATACCATCCATGCTGAGATCCAGTATCTAGACTGGAGCATCATCATGGCAAGTAAAATCAGAGCATCATGGTTAGACTGTCTCACTCCATGAGCAAAATCAATGAGTGCAGTCTGTCTTCTGGTGTTGTGTCACACAAAACTCTCACACAATCAAGTAACACAAAATAATTTCAAGTAGCCTGTCCCCTCAGATCTGCTTCAATTGTGGTACACGGATGGGATGAAACAGGTCTCTCCATCCCTCTCTCTTCCCAGGCACTTAACTGTGTCAGGGTATATGTGACATGCATCCTTGGCTCCCTGCCTCCAAGAAGCGGTGCAGTATTGTAGACGCGGGAGTCACGGACAACGAAGGAATGATCAATGTGATCAGTGAATGCCAATTTATTACAAAGCTTTAACTCCTTATATACCATTTCTTACAGGCACTTACAGTGATTTGGCATATTATGATTGGATACATGTCTTGAAGACCCTTAGTGAGTAGCATATAATTGGTTAAGCACAAGTGTGAGAACTTGACCTGGAAAGCTTGCCAACAGCCCACAGTTCTCATAACTCAGTAAATTACAGCTTCTTCTTATCTTGCTTGCTTAAGCTTCCTCGGGCCTCTCACGGCCTTGCTATATCTTTCAGGATTATTCAGAGTTTATGTACCAATTATCAATTCTCCCGTGAGAACACTGTCTCCAAACAGTATGACAAGTGTAAGACAGCAGCGCATACAGAACAGCGTGCTGGGGAAAAAGGCCTCATGGAATTATTTGTTCCCCTGCTGTTTTGCAAGGTAAGGCTCAAGGCAGGACCAACAGCTTTTGAACATGCCTCATTTCACACCCATGCTATGCATGTATTTTACCTTTCATGCGCACTATGGCCTGGCTACGGTCCTCGCCTTTGGCGTTTCTGGCATAACAAGTATAATTCCGTTTCAAGTCCTCTGGTGTGGTTTTTGCAACTGTTAGAGTCCTTATGATAGTTTTGTCTTCAAAATCTCTAGTAATTTCACTGTAAGAGAAAAACTAGAGCGTTATATATGTGAAAGTGCAGCATGTTGTTGGTGACAAACACTCCTTTCCCTCAGGTAAGCCAATTCTTTCTTTCAAAAACAAACAAAAAAACCAAACAAAAAACCAAAATAACAAACAAACCACCTAAACCGATACTTATGAATTGATACACACTTCAGATTTTAACAGAGCTGGGGCTGTTTCTTTATCTGATTTGCCTTAATATTTATTTTGCCCCTCAAATTTCTTATTGCAGCTGTGTCATGCTGCATTTTAGAGAAAGGGATTTCTTGCTTGCAAAGCAACAAGATCTTGTGAACTCAGGATTTAGAGCCCACATCGCATTCCCTGTGCAATCCTGGATGAGTCAGTTTGTGCCTCTCTGCCGGAATGGCTCCTCTGGAAGATGGGGATAATAGTATTTACTTTTGCCTTTCCTTTTTCTACATAGGTTTGCAAACCCACTGGCGCAAAAACTGCCATCCACATGTAATTCAGCAAATGGGATTCTGAACCTCATATGAGTTCTTCATATACATGAATCCCTATTCCTTCTAAGCAGTACTATCTATAATACTACATTTCTGTTTTCAGCCTCTGTTTTTGAAACTTTTTTATAATTAAAGCTATTTGGGAACATTCCTCTAAATAAAATAGTGTCTGCTCCTGTTTTAGCAGTTCTGCAATAGCACAAGCTGTTGGCACCACTACCAAGGCCTGGACAAGGAATGATGTGAATTGGTAAACAAAGTTCCCTCAAATCCTTCTGTAAGACATGACACCATCCAGGTCTGCATCCTCCTCCCTGGAGCTCCTGGTTCATCACGGCACAGTGCAAGCTCAGGGGTTTCTGATTAACAGGGAACTGGGGGACCCCATACTCCCTTGCAAGGGAAAATGGGACTGTCACATGTCTGTGTCCATCCCCCTCTGCAGGACCCAAGAGAGGTTTAGATACAAATGAAGGCTCACATTACTGTGTTACCTTTGTGTGACTTTTATCTTCGGGTCTGTGATGTCACCTGTGTTTTTCCCATCTATGGTCCACCACACCTCAGTCCGGGATTCCTTCAGGAAGGTGAAGAAGACCTCACAGGACAGAACAAGGTCATCTCCTGGGAAGAAAGGAAAACGGTGTGATATTGCAAAGCAGGAACAGTATCAAGCTGACTTTTGTGGTTTCCAATGGTCCTACCATCCTGAGCTCTGCCTCCCTTTACAAGGGAATGAGGGCAGCATCCACCTTCAGACATCTGATAAATCAACATGTACAGGGTGTTAAACTGTTATGACAGACAAATAAATAGGAGAAAATACCCTGCCTTCTCAAATGTGTTACAAATTCCTTGACAGCACCAAGTGACACATATGAAGGGAGGTGCTCCATGCCAACCACTTCCTTCGAAAGCCAAGCAGTGTTAATCATCCCCACTGCACATGAGACAGATGCCGTAAAGCAAAGGATCCAGCTCCACAAAAACATTTTGGTATGGGAACACTTGTTCAGGCATTTAACTTTCCTTCAAGATCAGGCTTGGGAGCATGAATATCTTTGTGATCACCCCATAAGTGATTTTATCTTACAGAATGACTACAGAAGTCTGACTTTCTAAGCCAAAAAAGCCGTGCTTTAAAGTGAAGATTTCTGTTAATCAACTTTGGCACCACATTTATTACAGCAGTGTAATGGGACACAATCCATTCAATATAGGGAATTGCTCCAAAGAGCTATCAGTATAAACTGATGGGGTGGGGGAAGTGGTGTGGTACCCCATTACACAATGCTGTGAGGCCAGCAAAAGGAGAGCTGTCATTAATTAGGAAGTAATTGGCCAAAAAAGGAGAGGAGATGAGCAAGATGTGGCCAGGATGCTGGAGCCACTGTGAGACTGAATGAGGGAGGATTGGAGCAAAGCACAGTCAGGGACACAGCTGAGACATGCTCCTACAGGAATTTCTTTAAGCAGCTGAGGATCCCCATTTCATCCAACTCCAAAGCTGCAGTCCTGCATCTCCATGGCTGTTTATTTATTCTTGCAAAAAGAAACTTTTAAAACTTTCCTATTCTGGCACTGAGAACTGGCACCCCACTCCATCTGTCAGGCATCTTTGTGGCAGTTCATGTGCCCTGTAAAGCAAAAGCACTGGGGATGCACGGGAAGGAGAGAGCTTCTGTGCCTGGCTAGGTCTTCCCATCCTGTCCCAGCAGGCAGGCTGCCAGAGCAGCAGCAGAAGGCATCAAGCATTGTAATTTACCTGCTTCCAGTTCGTAGACAACTTTCTCATTTGGAGAGATGAATTGTGGTGGCAAAGCCTTGTTTGGAGATCCTGCAGGAGAGAATGGAGAGCCCTCCATGGGGAACCGGACTTCATGAAAACCCGGCATCCTTGCAGCCTCATTCATGATGCCCTTGCACCCCACTCCACATGCTCCAATTCAGCCTGTGATATCATCCTGCTGCAGAATTCTGTGCAAAGAGAAATCTAATCCTAGTCCCCAAACTTGGCCAGACCCAGATTTTGAGGCTCCACCAAATTTTAGCTATATCTATATGTAAGATTTTGTGCCTTTGACATCAGAAGAGCACCATACCCATCTCATCTCTCACTCAACATCTCCCATAAGGCACAACCTGTATTGGTTTCTTTTTACTGGTGCTTCTGAAAAACAGAATAAAAGCATCACTTCTGTTGCAAGTATTTAATTCAGCTGTTAAAGGAGCAGTTGCTATGGGACTCAGCAGATGCTCTACTGTTCCCTAGGTTTTTAAGTTCTGTCTACAATTCCCTGGCAGGTTGGCTGAGCCCTTGTGCCTGGGATGGATCTGTCCAGACACTGGGCTGGGTAACTGGAGCCCTGCCTGGCCAATTTACAATTTCAGTCTCAGCATACAAAGCTTAGGGATTCCAAGAAAACCAAGGCAAGTTGGCTATAATGGGACAGTATCACAAATAATGATGAGAAAAGGGAACTGGAGACAAAAACTGAGCAAGAATGCCTGGGTTACGCATTCATATGCCAGCAGAGGGTATCCCTGGCCATCTCATGGGCTGTGTCTCACCAGTCTAAGCCTGGTCACAAGCTGTGTCACTTGGGGCTTTAGACATGGTGGTGGGGAGGACCTCCAGGGCCACATGTTATGGGCAGTAACACAAGGCTGACCCCAGCAAGCAAAAATAATCCAGGTCAGTTGGGTAATGCAGATTGAGTACAACTACAAATGGATCCTGTGACAGATTCTTCCAGCTGTTTTCACCACTTCTGCAGTTATCCACCTGCATTTTACACATTATAAAGTCATTCTTACCCACCACCTTCATGTTTATGGTTCTGGTGAGATTATAGGTTCTTCCGTGGTCCTTGAATGTCACGATACAAGTGTAATTCCCTCTGTACGCACTGCGGACAATGCCAATGACAAGCCTGGGCCCTTGAGGGTGTCGCTCACAGAAGCCATCCACCAAGTTGCAGTTCTGGAGTCAGATAGAAAAACACTTTGAGCTTTGGGATCCAAAAGTAAATATATTGGCTTAAACACTACTACAAAGATATTTTTAAAACTATGAATATGATACTTGAGATTGTGTTGTAGGTCAGACCTAAATACTTAGGCATGTTGGAATACAAACTGGTATTCACCTTGAAAATGAGGTAAAGAAACAGATGACCCTAATAGTTTTATCCCACCTCAAATACAGACAATTTTATAAAAGACAGATCTCTGATCCAGAAGTACATTTGCAGTCAAGGTGAGCACCTCAGCAGAATGAACGTAAGAAGAGAGAGGAAGAAAATGATGATGCATCCACAAATGGATACTAAGACTAAAGGACATGTCCCCTGTTGATGTCAGTCTTTCAGGACTAATCAAGCTACCCTGACTGACTTTAGCTGAGGATGAGGGCCCAAAATTAGTAACTGGCAAATGAGAATCTGTAGCACCGAAACTTTAATAACTCTTCTCTTTCTGTCAGGTGAGGCAGGAAACCTCTGCCAAATACCAAGCTAGAGATCTCTTTTCAGAAGGGATTGCATAGATGATATCTTGATTGTCGTAAAACCCAAAGATGTGCATATTTTATAAGAGATTATTTCTGAACGGTACATTTCTAAATCAGATACATCCTAATGGGGCAGTTTAAGACAGGGGTCATATACCGTTTTTAATGATTTTTATTAGGCATGAGATGACTTGCTGCCTGAAAAATTACTTCCTTGGGTCTTTTTGTTTCATCCTGCTAATTGCCTGCTGAGATGTGAATTTCAATGAATGGGACAAGTAAAGGATTTCAACTGTTGGAGTGAAACTGCTCCACTTGGATACAAAAGTAACTTTTTCTTGAAAGGTTTTAGAGTGGTTTTTATTCTTTTGGGGTGGTTGGGGTTTTTTGTTTGGTTGGTTTGTTGTGTTTTGTTGTTGTATTTGTTTGTTCAGCATTTTCTCTGGTTTGTGTGTGTGTGTGGGGGGGGGTTGTTTTTTTTAAAATCAGCAAATATACTTGTTGTCAACATCCTTTATAATTAAACCCACTCATAAAGAACATTCTATCTAGAATTAAAGAAGCTCTTTAAGAGTGGATAGAGAATTCAGACCCATAACCCTCTGGCTGCACATCCCCTGAGAATTCTTATTCTCTCTTGACCAAAGGCATCCACCTAGAGAAAAACACTGAAGTCAAAATTTGATAACATCGAGCAGTGATTCTTTAGGCAAGAGTCTCAGGATGGCTGGAGACAGCCTAATTACCAGAGCATCATGGAGGGTGGGCCAGGAATATCTCCATCTTCAGAAAAGAGGTTTGCTGAATTGTGTCAAATAGGCACCTATGGTCCTTGCAGCAGCCTGATGCACAAACTTAATTTCCTGACCTTGGAAATTTTGAAATTTTGGAACGGATGCTATTTTCACTAGTTTTGTTTTTTTACAGAAGTGTGAATATGAATCACAGTGTCCTTTACAGGGATAGTGACTGGCTCATACAACAGGTTAAACATACTACCCACAGCTGAACTGAGGTTTCTAAATTCCTGCTATTCTCCACTTGTACATGCTGGTCAAAAAGGTTTCAGTGATAGCTCTCAACTCCCATCCAAGAGCAATTTTACTCTTGAACTCAATAGAAAAAAAAAGTTCTTAAAATTACAAAAGCTTCATTAACAGCTTTGTCACTGTGGAGGCTCTAAAACTTAGCTCTATAATTCTCATGACAGCCACTGCTTTTTCAGATATAACACTGCATTCCCCAACTGACCAAATAAATCTTTCTTACCAAGTACCACTTGACAGTTGGTGTTACACTAGGAGGGTAAAACCCATCGATGTCTGGACATATGATCTCACTGGTATGCTCCAAGTAGAACATCTCCTCAATGGGTTTTATCGAATGGCTCACACAAGAGTGTTGGTCTTTCGGAACAACCTCCAAGGGAAATGCAACTTTGCTGCAGTAGGTTGTATTTCTAAGGACAGAGGAGAATAGGGCTGATGATTAGCTAAAATTTGTTTATTCCTATAGCAGTTCAATGAAATAAAAATCACATCCGCAGTAATGAGCATCATAGCACTGATAACGTATATACAACTTCAGTTGACTCATTTATATATGGGAAAAAACTCCACCAGAGATGGCCACACAGCTCAGAAAAGCCTATAAAGATGACTAAGAAGCAACATCCACTCCCCTGATGGTAAAGCGGATAATAATGTCAAAGACACAACGAACAAGAGACAATGTGAGGAAGATCAAAAAGAGCTCTTGTGCTCAGTTGCGTAGCAGATGCTATGTTCGTCTTGTACCACACTTAGAGACACTTAATTTCCTAGAAGTCTGCATCTCATAAATCTTAGCCAAATTAGCATGCAGTCAAAACATTACCCCTGCATCTGAAGCTATTTTTACTCTAGACATACAGATCACCTCTTAATGGTGAGTGCCTGTGGAATTTGCCATGAGCTCAGCATTAATATTTTCATGGACACTTGCAGCTAGCAAGGAGAGGCATGCTCATTAGTGTTTGCAAAGCTCCAAGCATTATTACAAAGTAAATTGGCTCAACACTGAGCGGCCTCATAATTGTAACATTCTTTCCCCATTAATGCTTTTGTAAATGGTCTTCTCCCTACAGAAAGATCTGGTGCTAACAGCATAATATTCCTGCTTTTATGAAAGTTCTTCAGTTACACTGAAGACTTACAGAAGCTGCACTGTACAACCTACCTGAGCATGCATGTATAATTCCCAGTGTCATTGAGAAGAGCAGGCCAGAACCAAAGGGTGTCTTTCTCCTTACTGATATGATTGTCTGGGAGACGAAAATTAATGGGCTCCTCCAGATCCCGGTCCTGTGCAGTCCTGTACCAGATCAGGGTTAAGCCTGCAGAATGGGCTGTGCTGTAGTTGTACTTTAAGAAGGTCTCAAAAAGTGGGCATTTGATCTTGGCAGGTTCCCCTTCATAAATCTGGATCTGCTTCATGGTGTCCACACCCCAGTCATCACAGCGTTCTGCAGCCAGAAAGAAGAAGGTAACTTAGCCTGCAAGTCTGCAGGAGAAAATAAGTTCTGCTTATGTTCCCCACAGCCCTTGGTCCTGTCCCCATTAAAATCAGAGGCAAAACCATAGTGTTTTCAGTGGAAGCAAACTATAGTTTTATAAAGAAGGGCAAGAATTCTATATCCATTTCTAGAGAACCTGCAAACTTCTGCTTTTATTTGTACACCTTTTACATTTCTTCCAAGCTATTTATCTCCCATTAGGACAATAGGATATGATATTCCTGCATAACACCAGGCTTCCTAGAGAGCTCCAAGAAAATTCAACCTTCAAATCTTGTGTGGGAAGATAAAATTTGGATGAAAACACTGCTAGAGGTGCATGTGCATCCACACACAGTGACAAGGAAGATAGAGGTGTTTAAATAAGAGATTAAAAAAAAAAAAACCCAAAGCAAACATCAACCCTCCCTTAGAGCTACAGATTATTGACACTGCAAGAAGCAGCTGGACTGTGGGTTCTGGGAAGTGAGGACTGTCTTTGCTGTGATGGATTCATGCGTCGCCTGTGCAGAGGCATAACAACACAAAGAATACAAGCAGTAATAATTGACACAGAGTGACTGCTTACAGTGAAGTTGGGGAAGGAAGGCTGAGGGGCAGAACAGACAGTATGGAAGAGGTGGCAGCAGCAGCAGCAGGTTCTCTTGGGGATCCCTGGGCAGCTCCCAGGAGCAATCCCCAAGTACAGTCAACAGGAGCAGTGTGACTCACGGCACACTCAGGCTGACGCAGAAACTGAGCTGTGTGAAAAAAAGCTACGCAGTGCCTTGTGCTTTCTTTTTTAGTTTTTTCTTATCATTAGTGAATAGTTTCAGTACAAAGAGCACAGTCAAAACCTTCCTTCCGAGTGCTCCTTTCCATTCCATTCCTCCTACCATCAAAATGCCCAGTCATGAAGGGACTTGGTGCAAGCAAAACACAGTACCAGCGTGTCAGCAAATGTAAGAGAAACCTGCATTTCCAGTGCCAGCTGAGACACACAGAGAAGCCATTGTCACCGCATCTCCTGTCATCCCACACTGACAAGGCAGAGTGTGGCACAGCACACTTCCCAGCACATCTCTTGTAGCTGCTGGGAGGCATTAGCTAGGGCAGCCTGATGTCCAGGAGCCCAAAATGGGTTGAAGAGGAGAAACGCATACTGCCTGCAGCAGTGCCCAGGAGCAGTGTCTCAGCATATCATAGCACACCAGAGACGACATTGCAAAGCCTCTCCAGTCTGCAGATATTAAAACACTCAGACAGAGAGGAAAAACAGGATACAGTATGTTCTTTGAGCCCAATTCTTCTGACCTGACTTCACAGGCCCAAAACAGGATTTCTGGCATTTTATCTTTCTTAATTAGACAGTGGGATGTAGCTTGGCCCTGAACTCATACTTAATTAGAAAAAACAAAGAAGTAAACCTTTGAGAAAATGGGCCCACAGCACTTAAAGGCACCAATGCTAAATACTGTGGTTTAGCAATACGCAGTCACACTGAGGAGGAATCTGAGCCGTTAAGAATAAAAAGTTTTTCTGGTGGATTTACACATAAATGCAAACACAAACTGCACTGCTCCTCCTGTGCTATGGCAAACACCGATATGAGAATCCTACTTCTGGAGAAAGAGAATGAACTGGGCTAGGGAGAGACAGTGAAGCTGCACAGAGCACAGGTATTTACTATCAGGAACCCCAAATCTAAATGACTGGAGAGTGTCATCACTTGTCATCTAAGAAACATACAGATCCTTCTTTCAAGACTGCATCATCCAGTACAGTTGCAATCACAGCCAGCACCAAGACTCGTTTTGAAAGACCAAACCGCTATTGGAAGCCTTACACCATGGGAAGGTGCATAGATACCAGTCAGCACCATGGTCAAGGCCCACTGGAACAAGTATGCTGCTTTAGGCTGGTGGGGTCAAATTACTGTCATGGTCAAATTCCTGTGGAGGGGTAAATGAGACAATTGAGCCTACCAGACACTACTTGCTATTTGCATGATAAAACATGGATTATTATTGATGATGGGTGGGGGCATTTTTTTTTTTTAATTTTTTTTTTTTAAATAAAGAAAGGTTTTTCCTCTGGAAGAGCAGACCTGGGACTGTAAATCAGGACATCTGGGCTCTCTTCCCACCACCTGCCTTTGCAGTCTCCTCTTGGGCTGCATAAAGGTGAACTGTCTTTATTACTTCAAATGGCAGGACTGAAGATGAAGAAAATTCTTCTGTAATAAAACATTGCAGTACTGAAATTCTTGGAGTCAAGATCAATTAAATTTCCCATCATAAACAGCTCTTGCATTTTGCAACAGCTCATAAATCAACACTAAAACTACTTACCCATTCTACCTGAATCAGTTATTGAAAATAAATAAAACTATTTAAATTTTTTTCTTCCTAGATTAACCAAAAGCAATGTATGGATTTTGTCTTCTTGACCAGGGAAGAGATAACTGCTACTGTTTTTTCACTATAAAAGCTGTACATGAAGATTTTGTATCAGAGCTGGCTAATTCACCTGCCTTCAGGAACACTGTCACACTGAACAGCTAGTCCTAAGGTTCCCTATGTATGATCTGTCTTGGGGTGCTGTGTGCTCTGAGCTGAACCCCAAGCACAGCACATAACCATGCTGTGTAATGAGCAGCTAGCTACACTGCAGGAGAAGCCATGCAGCTAGAGAACACAGGCTGTGCTTGCCACCCTGCTGGCAAAGACTCCTCTAGGCTTCCAGGGCAAAGCCAGCCCAGCATGGCTTCGAGGGCTCAGGGATCAAAGCCACAATCCGTTGCTCACAGCAGAGATGACAGAAATGCCACAGGCCTGAGTGAGACCTCCTTTATGCATAAAGCACCGAGGACAGAAGTTGTGGTGCTTCACACAACTTCCCTCCTCCCCATGCCATGGGGATATCTTATGCATGAGCTAGGTGGGCTCTGCCTGACACAGAATGTAAGGGAATTTCAGGACAACACTCACACACACCTTTGTGAGCCTCTTCCTCCTTGGCTGTGATGTGGCTCTTGTCCCTGTGCCCTTTCAATGCAGACCCCAGCAGCTAGATCAAGCCCAGACAGCCAGCTGCTCTCCCTATGTGTGTGTAAAGCAGAAGGGATGCTCACATTATTATTGTTATAACTTTATTTGCATCCAACAACTCCCTGCAACATTTTTGTGCTATTTCCAGTATTTTAACCTTTACTGGATATTCAGAGCCTATTTGCTGCTAACAAGTATGCAGATACTTGCACATCAGGCTGAACTGGAGATAACCTGAAAAAGTGGCATGACTTCACAGTGAGCCTCACTGGCATAAAGCAACTCCCACTGTAAAAAAAAAAAAAAAGTACGCAAGTATCTTGATATATCGTGACTCCAGCAACAGTATTTGAGGAAGCATTGCAGAAAGCAGATTTAAGGACTTAGTTCTAATTGTGAGAAACAGCAGCAACTTTTGCTGTGTCCATTTGCAGCAAGTCACACTTGTTTTCACTGGCTAAGCCTAGGAAGTGAATTTCTTCTCTTGAAATGTTTCCTGCACAAAACAGCTGCTGGAGTTTAGAGCAGCTTCTGAATAAATCGAGTGGAATCAATATTCATGCTCTGACTTCAGAGGTTCAGCAATAAATGGAAACCAGCGAAGAGATGAGGAGCTACATGCAACTCCATTGTCCCTTCTATGCTACAGGAAATGGAACACCACACACAACCGAAGTATACAATAAAAATCTCTAAAAATCCACCATTCCACAAATGCATCTTCCTAGAAATGCTTCTGCAAAACACTTTGAAATAATCCATCTTTTTCTCATAACAAAGGAGGTGCACTGTAAATGCCTCAGTTGACCCCTCTTACTGCTACTCTGCAATCACACAGCAAGGCAATCTGTGACCCATAATACCTACCCATGACTAACAATGCAGGAAAAAGGCAAGAAACAGTCTTGTTTCTAGAGCCCTGCTTAGGAAAAGGGATTATACATGCTGGAGAGAGGCTGCATGGTAGAAGGAAGCACCCACCTCCAGCACTGGAAGAGAAAGCACAGACAGGAAGGTCAGGGTAAGGATGCCCATCTTGATTTCGTGTGCCTTGAGATAAAGAGATGAGCGGGCTGCTGCCCTATTGCTCCTCCTTGATGAACACTGGAAACTAAGTGGAGTGGCAGTTAACTCCAAATGTCTTCAGTGCTTGGACTGTATGTTGCAGTCTGTTCACAGGGATATTTTTTACTGACACAAGGGACAGAAACATCTTCTCTTACAGAAATACGTCTGTCTCATTTCTGAATCTGGTGCTGCAATGCCCTTAAACACCAGGTATCTCAAAACAGACTCCTCAGAAGCCAAAGCAAGCTGAAGAAAGTGGCTTCCCTAGATGTAAAGTAGAAAATTAAATGAGAGGAAAGAAAAAAATAGCTACGTGGTTCAGTTGCATAAAGGTGAAACCAGGCATTTCTGGAAACCTTTCCAAACCTTTCACTTCTTGCACCGGTTTACGCCCTTTTGAAAAGAGCTCTGAATACACACATCTGTAATGCTCCTGAGATGCATCTGCAACACCCATTACAAACACCCACACAGCCAAAACAGAGATTAGATTGGTGCAATTATTTGCATTTTTCAAGAACAGACAAACTGCTTAACCCATGGATCAAAAAAGAAAACTAGAGTGAGGCCACATCAAGAAATGACATTCCATTTTGTCATCAGTTTGGCATTTCTATGCAGTTATTTTAAATACCACCATTTAACAGAAAAATAATAATATCTCAAGCACCAGAACTCTACCAGCTCTACACTGCCTCCAGTCCTGCCCTCCCCTGGGGCTACAAACAAAGGCTTCCCTTAGTTGAAATTTTTGTGAAGAAATAATGAAAAGCCATCCTTATGAGAAGCCATCTGTCATGCTGGCACAAATTATCCCACCATTTGCAAATTGATGTGCCCTTCTCTATTGCC